TTTGAGTTCCTAAACTTTCCAAATTTGTCAAAACGCCATATTAGGAAAGTATGAAATGTCATTGGAGATCCCGCCGTCTACCCCTCCTCTCCTTGAAGAAATCTCCACGCCAAGCATGTATGGCGGATCCGGAGCTTGAGTGGGGTATAGTTTTCCAAGCCGACGGAAGCGTCGACATCCTACGGTCACCTTGCTTCGACGTAGGTTTTGAAGACGAAACTACCGTGGAGGAATACGTGGACAGAGTCGTGCCAATCCTTGCAAGCATCTACGACCGGAGATTTGCAAAGCACACTTGGAGTCTCGAGAGTCCAGCATTCACGCCCTCCTCGTCATCGTCGACCCCTCCGTGGCTCAAGACTCTTGGCATTGCAACCATCTTCGTGGCATCCTTGAGTATACTAAGAGCCTTCTCCCGCTAAACCCGACATTGAGTGTAAGTGAGCAAGGTACTCGTAGTGAAAGTTCTTGATATTAACCGTTGGATTCTGTATTATTTTCCGCATTCGATTATTGTGAAACTTTTAAGATCTATCCATAATTGGGCTCAAACAACTAGCTTGTGATTGCTTATCATAACATTTTGATAACGGATAATTTCTTGAATCTCAACTTTAGATAATCTAATCTTATAAGCGGTAAACTTTGTAATTCTGAAATAATTTCATGTGCAATTCTTGAACGTTTCACATCAGCCACGTATCGGGGGAGTTTCGGATGAGTGTCGTATTGGATACGTGTTGGACATTGCACGCCTCTTTGAGAAGTGTCGGTGCATCATAGCTTGCAAGCTTGCAAATAGTCATTTTTTTATTGCCTTCTTGACATTACAAAATTTTCATCAATGATAAATAACAACAACAACAACAACAACATCAAGCTTTTATCTTACCATGTGAGTTCAACTACATGAATCCTTTTTCTCCATTGTGTCTTGTTAAGAGTCAAATTCTCATTCAAATCTAATAAAGAAAGGTGATTTCTAATATTTTCTAATAAAGTATTGTTAGATCTAACTCTATTTGTTTAACATAAGTCAAATCTAATACATCTACTTTCCTAACTGAGTCATTGGAACGCCGTTGTTTTATTAGATCAAACCATCTAAGGAGACTCTCTCTAATCTTATCTTCCACCGGAGCTACTCCAACCTTTTCACATATATGCTCATTTCGTATCCTGTTTCTAAGAGTAAAGCCCCTCATCCACCTGGGCATCCACATCTCTGCAACACTTAATATTATGCTTCTCTTTTAATGGCCAACATTTTGCATCATAAAGCATTGCAGGTCTTACCATAATCTTATAGATTTTTTTCTTAACTTTGTGGGGATTTTTCTATAACACAACAAGCCTGATGCATTCCTCCACTTCAACCATCGAACTTGAATTCTACTAATAATATCTCCATCTATTTCATCATCACTCTGAGCAATAGACCCAAGATATCTAAAATGTATACTTTAATTAATGACTGGATTTCTTAAAGTCATAATCCCCTGACTAGATTTATTATTACTAAAATTATACTTCATATATTCAATTTTTAATCTACTCAAACGAAAGCCTTTAGACTCTAAGGTTGACCTCCATAATTCAAGTTTACCTTCAACTCCATCTCTAGTCTTATCCACAAGAAGAGTATAATCAACAAAAAATTCACAAGAATAATATAATCAGCTAAAAACATAGACCAGGGTAATAACCTCTTGCAAATGTCTAGTGAGAACATCCATGGCTAAAGCAAAAAGATATGGGCTTAAGGCTGATCTTTGATGTAATCCAACTAAAATTTGTGTTTGAACACAAGTAGCAGCTCCTATACATATCCTTAATGACTTGAATATAAGCATTATTAACTCCTTTATTTCTAGAACTCTCCACAATTCTCTTTGAACTTTATCATAAGCTTTCTCTAAATCAACAGATATTATATGTAGATTCTCCTTATTCTCTCTATACTTCTGCATCAAACCTCTCAAAAAATGTATAGCTTCTATAGTAGACCTACCGAGCATGAATCCTAATTGATTTTGAGAAACATTAGTATATCGCCACAACCTGTGCTCCATAATTCTCTCAAATAGTTTGAAAGTATGACACATTAATATTAAAAAGTGCATCACACTCATTCTCCACTCATTTGACATCATTTTTGTCTTCAAAATAATATTAAAAAGTTTAGTAAGCGAAGAAATTTCTTTATCTCTTAAGCATTTTTACACTTGTATGGGAATGTCATTAGGTCCAACAACTTTTTCACACTTTATTTTCTTTAAAGCCTCTCCAACTTCGATTTTATTAATACGCCGATAAAAATATAAATTTTTATTTTCATTTAGGATTTTAAGGTCACTAAAGTCAATCGCATTCTTACGATATTCATTAAGAAGTTTAGTAAAATATCTTATCAACTTTTGTTGAATATCCTCTTCTAATAAAAGCACTTTTTGACATATTGCAGCACCTCATGTGTCTCCAATCACGACTCTCTATAGCCTTAAAGTTCAGATGAGAGCACTTAAGAGGGCTGACTCTCTAATGGATAGTGTGTTTCACATTCTATTTGCTAGACATGGTAGCAATTAGAAAAAGATTTATCGACACTTATATTCACTAGGCTTCAATCAATGATATCCAAATTTTGTGGTTTCATGTTTGTAAGGGACTTTAGTATTAGAGATTTTGGTGTTATCTGCATCTATCTGGTGTACTTTTTATTGCTAATTACTTTTGATGTACTCATATCATCTAGTTTTAACATTTTGTCTTAAAGAATAATTAAATCTAAATACCTCCATCCCAGGTCGGGAGGAATTGAATCAATAAAAAAAAGGAGCTGGAAGGTTCACTCAAGCCCACTTAAATTAGGTTTTTATCTTGTTAAGATTTAATTAGTTCAATCATCATTCTTAGGGTTTTGGCTTAACTAAACTAACATCATTACTAGAAACTTGGTTAAGCTTAACTCTGAGCAACATCTTAATAGTTGGGCTATAATTATCACGCCTCTTATGGTTGAGCTATTCCACACGAGCTATTCATATTTAACCTAGAATTGCCCAGGATAGTAATTAGGGCTAATCAGGACTATTAGCTGCGTTTTGATTAGGACTAGGTTAGCTAAGACCCATGGGTACTTGACTAAGGACTGTATCCGAGGTTCAGATTGAGTTAGGGTTTTGGTAGATTAGGTTAGGCCAGTGAAGGCAATTTTGGGTTTCATGTCATGTTTCATCTTAGCCACCTTACACCATGCTGACCCATTTCCTAATCATGAAGAACAGGAATAGTCATTAGGGTTCTTGATGTTAGTAGATGTCAATTAGTGTTTGGCTATGTAAGCCTATGCATAGTTTATGCCAGTTGATCTCTTTTTTTTTTTTGCCTTTATGGTTACAGAACCATTTGCCAGTTGATCTCTTAGAAATCATTGACTTTGGAATTAGGGTTGATCCCTTTTTTAAGGGACATCACGTCACAATTAGGTTGGACTCACTTGTGAGGTTATTCTTCCCATAATTGATCAGTCAGTGCTACTTGGCAGTGACTTGGAGCTTAAAGAAGACTGTGGTCACGGAGGGACTCGCTACTTAGACACCTCTTATATTAGACTAGTTTAAGGTCCATTGAGAACCCAAGTGGTAAAAAATTTCTCTAATTCTTTTAAGAGGTCAACAATTTAGAGATCACTTCTCAACATGGAGATATAACATGCAAATCTAAAAGTTGTTATATTATCGGTTTTCCCAATAAGAAGAAATTATTATTCAAATAAATGTTGTCACATTTAAGCTTGTCCGCAAGTTGTTTTCTCAACTTTTCCATATTATTAAAGCTTATTTTAGTCATTGTTCTTATCTAGGTCTACATCTAAGTTGTTCCTTTACAACATTATTTTCTTTGGCAAAATCTACCATTCTTATTTATGTTTTGAGGTTGCTTATGAAAGCAAGTTGTAATCATAGGCTGGCTCGACCGGTTCAATTGTGAATCGGTCACATCACCGGTTCGATCCATCTTAAAAATTGGTTTTGCATCTAACCAGATTTAATTGGCTAGAACCATTGGTTCAACAAGTGAATTAGTTTTTTAAAAGCAATTGGTTAAAGTGTTTTATATTTAAATAGTTAAATAAATTAATTTAGCAAATTTAGTATAAAATATAATATTAAACTTAATAAATTAATTTAAATTTAATCTATTCTAACTTTTAAATAAGCATTAAATTCATATTAGTATTATTTATCAAAAATTGCCAAAAGTATTCTCATATAGCCCCACCACTTTATGTGAGTTCCTAACATTTGCAAAATCAAAATGCTATATAAATCATACAAAATGAAACTTTACCAGTGATGTGGGACTAAAAAGTTAAGTTGAAGTTTTCATGTTTACAACACAAAAATTATTTTCATTAATTTTTATAATATGAATAATATTTATTTTTAAAGTCGGTAATATTTAATTTTTTTATCTATTTGTTTTTAATTTATTTAAGTATACACTATAAATAACTAATTTTTATGTATTTAATTATAGATATAAATGATTTATATATATAATTTTATTATGTAAATTTAATATATAATTTATATGAATAAATTATATATAAATATGTAACATAAATTAGTAATAATTTATATTAAATTAAATGCTTATATGCAAACTAAATTTAGATTAAAAATTAAATTTAAATATTGTAGATATTTAATTTTAAATTACAGAGGTTTTTGTGCATGAATTATGTTTATTTTTTAGTCATAAAATTATATTATTATATAATTATTACATCATTATTATATCATTTAAACTTTGTTTGAACAATTTTAATATTTATTATGTTATTTGGTTCAACTCCTTGTTTAACTCCAATAAAATCATTTAACATTGAATCTCTCATTCTTCCGTTTTGATGTCCGGTCCGATTTTCACAACCTTAGTTATAATGATAATCAAGTATGCTTCAGAAGTTATCACCTTGCAATTCTTGATTACAGGGAATTGAGCTATTTCGGCATGCTTTAGAAGTTTCACCTCAGAATGTGTCAGCACATTTTGGGCTTGCTTCTGGTCTCCTTGGGCTATCAAAGGAATGTGCTAGTATTGGAGCATATGAATGGGGCGCTTCTCTTTTGAAGGTTTGATGTTGACATGCAGGCACGCTTTTCCCTATCTTTAATATTTTTTTGCAAAATATAATATAAACTGATACTGTGAGGTTGGGCTTATTTGGTTTGTAGGATGCATCGGAAATTACTAGTGCTTGTTCTCATCTTTCAAGCAATTTTTCTTCAGTCTGGAAGCTGCATGGGGACATTCAGGTATAGATTGGACAGGCCGCTCTTTATTTCTGTTTTATTATTTATTCTTTTGACGCTATAGCCATTGAGTTGATTGTTTTGAAACATTGTGATGATGGAGATGGCGTTGAATCTAGTTATAATTCTGAAGGTCATATCTTCCATTGTCATGCTTGCAGTTTTTCAGGACAAACAAAGCTGGCAACCTCTTATTCAAGAAAAATAAATGTCTTCTTTACCATTATCCCAACGATTTAGGATGGGCTTTATGAATTCCCTGTTTTCTATCATTTTTGTTGAGTTTTTAATGAGTTGCTAAGTCTAATTTTGAATAATTTTTATCCATGTTACCTTTGTGAGTCATGCACATCAAGGGAGGGCGAGGGGGGATGATGGGCGCAATTCAATTCCTCACTTTGTTCATTTGAAATAATGTCAAACATTATGTAATAAGCACAACAAAATAATGATTAATGGATACTTTGTGGACAATGCATAACTGAATATAAATAAATCAAACAAAATAAACATACATATACAATATAATTATAGATGGAAATTTGCAAACTATGCATAGCTAACAAATGATTGATCAATCCATGAGCACAATAATAAAGATAGTACTCATCAATATGAACACAAAAATTTTACGCGTTAGATTCGGTCCACAAGCACACAACCAGCAGAAGAGATTATGTTGTTGATATAAATATGAGCTATATTTGAGTTATGTAATCAAGCGAGCATATATATAATGAATCTACTTAACCATAAAATTATAGTTATTCAACAACCAATTACTAGTGTTTGCCCTTAAAAATAAATAATGTTGATATGAGAGATTTACAGTACTTGGGGAGAAGGTATTAAATTAAACAATCTAGATCACAACTATAATGATAATTATACTAGATAGCATATTTATAATCAATATATGAATCTGGCAAACTTGTAATGCAAGTTCTAATTATTTATAGAGGTTATGATGACAGCCGAAATATAATAATGCTAAGTGTAAAAACAGCAATATAAATATATAAGTAAATATAAGTTCACAGTGATAACATGTGATAACATAATTATCCATTCATTACAAGCATGGATAATCAAGTTTAGCGCGATGTATACATTTAACTAGAATGAAGAAATCATTGTTTACATGGTTGGGTCCAACTTTGCCTATCTCCACACTAAAGCATGTCCTTGCTTGGAATTTGACTGTGAATTACTCCTTTGTTAGCAAATTGGTGGAGAAATTGAGGTTCCTTCTTAACAAGGAACAAGCATCTAAACCCTTGATTATAAACAATTGCACCTCTCTAAGTTAAAGGTTAGCAATAACATATGAGAAAACCTTCAAAGTCTTTTGAGATTTTGGTGTTGAATCAAGCTATCACTAATGATTATAATTAGAAACAATCTTTTGCAAAATATTACAAAATGTACAAGTAAATTACAACTTTGAACGAAGATATTGAGAGAGGAAGGCATTACACTAATTGAACTTCATGTAACTTGATGAGAATGAACACATGAAATCCTTGAGAAGAGAGCCATAAAGCTCAAAATACTTCAGTTCTATATGGAAAATAGGGCTGGAATCATTAGTATTTTTAGGTTACTTGGTTAATGGGCATGCATAAAGTAATATGAGAGTCAACAGAACACCCAAAAATTCTTACCTGGATGGGTTGTTAAGTTGCAAGCAATTCAGTTTCAATAGCTGGAGAAAGTAGCCATTATCCTCTTAATTTGCAATTTGTGGATGCCTAAAACATAGTTGTGGTGACCTACTAACCTAGTCGAGACCCACTATTTTTTGGGACTAAAATCTTGTAACAAAACAAAAAAGAAAGAGAAAATGCAGCGGAAAATAAAAAACAGTAGGATTTAATGTGGAAAAATATGAAATCGGGAAAAAATCACGGAGCCACACCAGCTCCAGAAATCCACTATTAAAATGGGAGAAATTGTACATATTTTTTTCTTGCTCATTCTCTCATTGTTTCTCTTCACTCTTCACACACCATTCTGCACAGAACTAACAAAACGACACTCATAAACCACAACAAGGGACGCAACACTTCACTTAAACATGAAAAACGAGAAAGAAAATTGCCCAACCTGACTCCTAGCGTCGCGATGCTGGGGTTTGGAGTATCACGTGCTCAACTCTTTGTCTCAAACTTGATTGCAGTGCTAGGGTTTGGAGCGACGTGGCACTCCGCTCTCTGTCTCCAACTAGGTGCAGCAGTATACAATGTCGTAACGCTGTACATATTTTTTTTTTCAATTTAGCCCTGCAGCTAGGGTGGAAAAGCTGTTGGACCTGATGATATTCCAATAGAGGTGTGGAAATGCTTAGGAGATGAAGGAATTTCATGGCTTACTAAACTTTTTAATACTATTTTGAAGACTAAAAAGATGCCAGATGAGTGGAGAATGAGCGTGTTAATTCATATTTTTAAGAATAAAGGTGATGCACAAGATTGTGCGAATTATAGAGGTATTAAGTTAATGTGTCATATTTTAAAACTTTGGGAGCGAGTTATGGAGCATAGGTTGCGGCGTGATACTAATGTTTCTCATAATCAATTTGGATTCATGCCGGGTAGGTCGACTATGGAAGCCATACATTTATTAAGAGGTTTGATGGAGAAATATAGAGAAAATAAGGAGGATCTACATATGATATTTATTGATTTAGAAAAAGCATATGATAAAGTTCCAAGAGAAGTGTTATGGAGAGTTCTTGAAAAGAAAGGAGTCAATAATGCTTATATTCAAATCATTAAAGATATGTATGCAGGAGCTATTACTTGTGTTCAAACACAAGGTGGATTGACCAAGTATTTCCCTATTTCGGTTGGGTTACATCAAGGATCAGCCTTAGGTTTGATGTTGACATGCAGGCACGCTTTTCCCTATCTTTAATATTTTTTTGCAAAATATAATATAAACTGATACTGTGAGGTTGGGCTTATTTGGTTTGTAGGATGCATCGGAAATTACTAGTGCTTGTTCTCATCTTTCAAGCAATTTTTCTTCAGTCTGGAAGCTGCATGGGGACATTCAGGTATAGATTGGACAGGCCGCTCTTTATTTCTGTTTTATTATTTATTCTTTTGACGCTATAGCCATTGAGTTGATTGTTTTGAAACATTGTGATGATGGAGATGGCGTTGAATCTAGTTATAATTCTGAAGGTCATATCTTCCATTGTCATGCTTGCAGTTTTTCAGGACAAACAAAGCTGGCAACCTCTTATTCAAGAAAAATAAATGTCTTCTTTACCATTATCCCAACGATTTAGGATGGGCTTTATGAATTCCCTGTTTTCTATCATTTTTGTTGAGTTTTTAATGAGTTGCTAAGTCTAATTTTGAATAATTTTTATCCATGTTACCTTTGTGAGTCATGCACATCAAGGGAGGGCGAGGGGGGATGATGGGCGCAATTCAATTCCTCATTCCACACAGAACTAACACTATTTGGTTAATGAAGTATATAGTTTTGACTTTTTGACTGAGTAAGAAGCACAATGAAGGTAGGGAAAGGTATAATAAATTAACTAGCAATTTAATCTTGTACTATAGTTTTAAGTAAGTCCTAATGATGAGAAAATACTTAATGTATGTTTTCTTTATATAATAAAAAAATTATTTAATTATAAATGTTTTTTTTTTTTTTAAATAATTTAGCATCTTTACCCTCCTTCAAAGGTTTAGGATAAACCATGTTCCCAGTCAAACAATGAAGCTTTAAACATACGCTGACACATGAAGTCATTATCCTTGGAATTTTCATTTGCTCACTTTAGACTTCATGATTTCTCCTTATTGAGTTAGTTGCAACGGTTCCTTTCTCCTTATTGAGTTAGTTGCAACGGTTCCTTTCTCCTTATTGATAGTGTCATATAATGTATAGTATAGTTCAATCACTGAGAAGCCAATTATAACACATCATATACACACTAAGGCTCATGGGATCAATAATCTTTCGGTTAGTCCTTCCTAGTCTTCTAATACTAATTTTATCTGCTCTTTTAATTGGTGTATTTTCTACACTTTATTGTACATTTCTGAACTACCTTAGTCCATTTTAAATTACGTAGATTTAACAGATGTCACTCCTTTTGTTCCTCTAATATAATCATTTTTTAGTTTTAATCACACATCTATCTTAACATTCTCAAACAGCAAAGTAGTTATCCTAAATGTAAGAAGAATGTACTCCATTAGAGTGAAAGGAAGATGAGTGTTCCGAGATTGATGTGAATATGGTGGTAACATAATAGACGAGTTTATCAGATTACTTATTGAGCACTACAAAAAGGGCTATAAACTGGAACCGTATAGCTTCTGTTAGCAGTCCATCACTATTCTAGTCATGTTAATCCTCAGTATTGCTGAGCGAGCTGTTTTGATTAAGACAGGTTTTTGTATTTAAATCAACTATGATCAACTTGGGATGTTGAAGCATTATATAAATGCTCTGCCTTTAAAGACCATAAGGTGGAATTCGTAGAAAAGAAATAAGCTGCAGAAATTTTAATTCCTCCAGTCCATATATCTCTGAAAGTGGCAAAAAATAGTTATATCAGAAAGATTTTTGGCCGATTATCTTTGCAATACCTGTTACAGTGATACCTTATAATCAGTACAATAACTGAGCAGTACCTGTGTTTCAACAATGATGCAAGCAAAAATTTGGGAAGGGCCCCAAATTTTTGCGAGCAAAAACTTGGTATCAGAGCCTAGGTGTGTGTCTTCCTAGGTCTCTTGTTTTGTGTCTTTTTTAAGTCAGAACAATCTATTTTCAGTGATATACTTAAAAAGAAGAAGATTGTTTGTTTGATATAGGTGCTGAAATGCATTTATATTTACCTGTTGATTGCAGCGGCTGTTGAGGGTGAAAACTGATAGATTATTCTGTTGGCTTTATAAAACAGTATAATGTGCCTGTGCAGGAATGCATTTACATCAGAACATGGTATGACCAAGTTTATACTAAGCTAAAGTAGTATATTCTCTTTATGCCTGGTTCATCTTGCGCTGCATTGCTTTGTTGCTTATTCTTATTCTAAGTGAGTTCCACCAACAAATAATCCTGTAAATCAATGTTTTTCTCATGGGTTCAGGCAAAGCTTCAGATTGTGCTAGAACTAGTGTAAGCAAGGCAGACTATGCATTGAGGAATGGATGCAGATAAATTTGCTTTGAAAGAAGTGGAAAGTGAGACTCTGAATTTATAGGGAGGTCTCATAATGAATGCTTAAATCCTTGTAGACTTATGAGAATTCTCAACTAGAGTTTGAGGATCATATAACTTTTTTTCTTTCCTATTGTCCAGAATTAGTCCGTTTATGAATCGTTACAAACATCAAATAGGTTACTTATGAATCTATAAGGTTTATATCTAAAATTAATGTGAGCCGTAAATAATAAATGTAGAAACATTATGCTTTTTGTATTCAAAATTGAACCCATTAAATGAGTAAATAAATTAGTGTTGTGATTAGGAGGGAGAAAGGTAGAGTTACGATGACATGGATCGAAATTGCTAAAATATTATGTTAAACAACCTAGGCATCACTCAACATTTTGCATGAAAAATAAGAATAGGTAAAGCCAACTCCTAATAATTTGTGATATGGCGAATGATGATGATGATATTTATCTATGTTAGGTTGTTGTTTGAGTAATATAGTAAGGTGATAACCTGTAACTTAGATTGTTGGGTGATAATTTTCGTTGTTTTTGCCATTAATTGGTTTAGTGGCTAGTGTGTGTGTGCGCAATTGAAATTTTGTTAAGAGTGATATGTGTCTTATATCTTTTTATAGCATGAATCTTTATAGTTGCTGAAATTTTATATTCATTAGTTATTTTTCTTGTGAGCTTTCAAATTTTGTGACTATGACATTATTATTTTGAATCAAATAAGCATGTTTGTTGTTTTCACATTAAAAGTAAATGCTTTTGCTAGAGTTAAGAGTTATTAATACATTGATTGTAGTTTTTTGTGTGTTTTCCTGCGGTTCTTACCCTGAACTGCATTAATAAACACTAGACTTTAGAGTATCCTATATCAACTTGATATCAGAGACTATTTTGTGTCAATATATTACTTAGATGTATGGTTAGTTTTTAGGGCTGATCAACAGGTGATCATAAGGATGATAACTATCTCGGAAAACCAAATAAAATAATTACTTGCAAAATATATCAACTAACCAAAACAATAAATCAAATTTATGATCGACTTGACATTGAAAATTGATCAGCTATGCTCATAAGTATTGATTAATGGATCCATCCTTATAAGAACACATCCACAATGCTATTAGATGAAAAGAAACCCATTATGAAATTAAAAAAAAAATTAACACATGCATCATGGAGAGAATGAAAGTTACGAACAAATATACACCACAATGTCATGATATTGATGAAGACATAAATAATATGATTAAAATAGATTCATCATCCTTTGACGGGAGGATAAATCCTAAAGTCTTATTATTTTGGATGATGGATATAGACATTTTTTAGATTCGTCATCCTTTGACGAATGATGTTGGATGAGTGATAAGTAAAGTTATGTTAAACAAAAAGCTTATTGACCTAGAATAAATGTGTTGGATTGGCTTTGGACACAAAGGGAAAGACCGGGGCTAGAACTTACTATTACTTGTTAGTTTTTCAGTGTATGTATGTGATGCGGACATTGGCACGAAGATCTGGCGCATCTATCACAGGAGGCGTCGTAAATCGATGGCTCTAATTTAAGTTGTCATTTATGAATTATTTTCTACATTTTAGTTTCTATTTTATGTTATTTTCTATTTTACCCCTAGGTTAATTTATTTGAGTGTTGTGGCCCAAGGGGCATTTTTGTAATTTTCTATTTTCCCATGTTATGGCCTATAAGTAAGGGCCTTAAGCTATTGTAATGGATGGTTGATTGATATGAAAAATTGTTTTTCAACACTTGTGTTCTTCTTGTGAGAGAGCGTTAGTGAGATTCCTATGAGAGGAATCGAAGTTGTCACCAGCCGCAGGATGGGTCCGAGCTCGTGATTTGAGTCTCTTGGAGAAGGGCAATCGTATCACCCACCAACCTTGGAGACGGCCGGGTTCGTGGTTTTATTCTTTTCGTTATCTTTTCATTTTCTCCTTGTCGACATCCCCATCTCCTCCTTCCACCGCCACCGGCGCCTTCCTCCTTCCCATTGAACCGCCAGTTTTAACAACCCCTCCATCACCCCCACTGAGAACCCCCACCTTTACTTCAATTATTAATTGCCTTTCCTAAATTGGAGGGATTAAGTTAACGAAGGATTTGAATTCAAAATTCAAATTTGAATTCAAAATTCAAATTTGAATTCAAATTTATTTATTGCTTAATTCATTCTTAATAATTAGGCATTTAATGATGTCTTTAATTCTGAAATAAAATCTCAGAATTTTGAATTCAAAAATCCCGCCGGCCTCCCTTAATCCTTCCCTTGTAATCAATTAGTTTCCAATTAGGGAAGAGCTCTTCATTAATGCAAATTTGAATTCCAAAATTTGAATTCGAATTAGCATTATTCACACCATTAATCTCTCCCACCATTTAAGCCAATTGTCATTAATTCTCAAATATGAATTTAAATTCAGATTTAAGACATTAATTCCCTCAAATCACTCTCCAAATTAAATCACCTCCACCTTGGCTTCACTCACATTTATTAACTTTTTCCCCTTTTTGCTCCAGCCGAAATTCCCTATGCCGTTGTCTGTTTGATTAATGGCTTGATTTTCCAGCAACCAGCAATTTCCAATTAATTGTTTCTTAAACTCCAAGTCCCTCATTTGGAAACAATTTCAATTGCTGTATTTCCTCTCTTGGCCGAAAGCTTCCCAGGCTATCACGTGGAATTCCTCCACTAGAAGCTCCCGTGAACAAAATCTTGCCTAAGCATTACTTCCTAATCTAGTTCCCAAACTCCTCCCGTGAAGCATTCCTTCTACTTGGAACCTGAGAATTTTCTCAGGTTTTGGCACAAAAACCTGAAGAAAAAAATTCAGATTTTGTGAGCTGGAATAAATCCAGATTTATTTCAGTTTTGCAAGGAACAATTTCAGATTACGGAGAGGAGATCCTCTCCGTAGCATAGCCGGTGCTCCCGTTCTGCATCAGTATGATAAATAATTCAATTATGTTGACATGATTTTTTCTCCTTAATGCTTGAAAAATTAATTGTTATGGTACTTGATCACATGCTTTTTTGATATCTCAATAGAAATTATATGAAGATCCTCCTAGTTGCTCTGCATGTTTTTTGGCTTGTCGACTTTTTACTATCTACTTTATTTTTAAGCTTCTTTTTATTATCCTCTTACAACTTTGTCATACCTCTTGTAAGTTTATTCCCCATCATCATCATATGCAACATCTCATGTGACCCTTTAGCCTTATCTGAAATTTGCCTTGAACCTGTGAATCTTAATAGGCTTATCATGTCGATGTAAGTTCTACATTTATGCATTCAAGGATGTTCTTTATGTATCCATATTTTAATTTGTTCCCATTAAGTTATACTTGTTCGGTTAAACCTATTCTTCTAAATTCATTTTGAATAATTTTTATTACAACAACAACAACAACATCAAGCCTTTGTCCCACTACGTGGGGTCGGCTACATGAATCCTTTTTCATCATTGTTTCCGGTTAAAAGTCAAATTCTCATCTAAATTTAATAAAGAAAGATCATTTCTAATATTTTATAATCAAGTCTTTTTAGGTCTACCTCTATCTTTCTTAACATAAGTCAAATCTAATACCTCAACTTTTCTAACCGGGTTATCGGAAGGCCTCCGTTTAATGTGACCAAACCATCTAAGGTGATTCTCTCTAATCTTATCTTCCACTGGAGCTACTACAACCTTTTCACGTATATGCTCATTTCATATCATATCTCTAAGGGTCAAGCCACTCATCCACCTAAGCATTCTCATCTCTGTAACACTTAACATAGTATTATGCTTCTCTTTTAATGGCCAACATTCGGCACCATAAAGCATTGCAGGTCTCACCACCATCTTATAGAATTTTCCCTTAAGTTTGAGGGGGACTTTTCTATTGCACTTTTTTGAATAATTTTTATTGAGGAAAAAATGAGTAAATTTTTCTCCACCGTGTCTATCTCACTCTGTACCTGTGCATCACATTTATGATCGGTGCCCTCATGGTAGCATGTGAGTGCACTCAGGCTCCCTCTTCTATGTGAATCCCCCACTCTCTGTTCAGTGTCATTCACCAAGTACTCCGTACAAATCTCTTGTTCAGACTAGTTATTACCCTTTCCTGGGCATCGTTTTTACCATGACTTATTTATCCTTAGTGCCAGGTCATTGGATCCGCTTGCCCGTGGCAACATTTTTTTGCTATTGGCTTCATTGCCTCTAGACATTGACATTTGCGCTCATGCCATCTTTGTTCTTTTGCACACTTTCATTGATTGTGAATGTTATTGAGGATTAGCTTTAAGCCCATATTTTTTTTCTTTTGTCATAGATGTTCTTAATAGACATTTGCAAGATGATGTATCTGGGTGTAGACTTTTTTTTGCTGATGATATTCCTCTTGTTGATAAGACTTGAGAGGGGGTTGATGGAAACTTAAATTATGGAGGTCTACCTTATAGTCTAAATGTTTTCGCTCGAGTAGATCTAAGACTAAATACTTGGAGTGTAATTTTAATAGTAATAGATCTAGTGGTGGGATTGTGACATTGGGTGATCATATGATTAAAAAGAATGCACATTTTAGATGTCTCAGGTCTATTGTTCAAAATAATAGTGATATAAATGGGGATATTATTAATAGAATTCAAGTTTGATGATTGAAGTGGAGGAATGCATTTGAGCCTATTGTGTGATAGAAAAGTACCCCTCAAACTTAATGTAGAACTTTATAGATGTTGGTGAAACCTACAATACTTTATGGCGCAGAATGTTAGCTATTAAAAGAGAAGCATAAAATTAAGTGTTGCAAAGAATTGGATGCTTAAGTGGATGAATGGCTTTAAACTTAGAGACAGAATGCAAAATGAGTTATGTTAAAAGGTTGAAGTAGCTCCAGTTGTAAATAAGATTAGAGAGAGTTGCTGTCATGATCCGGCCCGATGAGCTCGTATAGGCGAGGCGGGAATGGATGGTTGGACGGTAGATCAATTT